AGAGGAAAGCTTTTTAAGAAAGAAGGCACATATTCCATCAGGACCAATAGATAGAGATGGCTTTAGTTTGTGTAGTGCCCTTATGACGGTATCTTCAGTAAAATCAATGTGGATTAGATCTTTGCAATTAGATGAGGTACGACTAGGAAAATGAGGGGAAGATGCCATTGCTGTTGACAAAGATTGAACTGAAAAAAGTGTTGAAGAGATTAGCTTTAATGGCATCATTGTTACAATCTTCACCATTTGGCCCTTTTAGAGGTGAAATGGTTTTTGAGTCTTTAATTTTGGCGTTTACAAAATTATAGAAGGCACGATTGGAATTCATGTATAACAACTAGTTGACTTTTCTAAAGTTATACTTTGGGATTCCGTCATTATGATTGTCTATGTGAGGACGTAAGTTGAGATAAAAGTCTATCATGCTGTGGTCACTGTTGGAAAAGGGTTCTTTTATTTGTAGTCCATAAATTGAATTTAAACTGCTGCAGAAGATGAGATCAAGGTACTTCTTGAGTCTAATGTTATTAGTTACTAGTTGATCTAGTCCCAGATTAGTTACAGCATTGTACAGGGTTGAATGTATGGGTTCAGTTGTACATTTGTTTAGGGTCCAATTAATAAGAGTTAGATTTAGGTCACCAAGAAAGATAAGAGGGTGTGGGCAGGAGGCTGCCCATGTTAGTAGTGATGTTAGTTTGTTTGCATGTACAAGGTCGACATCAGGGGCTCTGTAACAGAGTATGAAGCGAATTGTGGTGTTTAGGGAAAGGTCGTATATGATGGTCTCAGGAAGAGCTAACTCCTGTGTAACTTGAATATTTTTTAGATTTAGGGATTTTTTTATAGAAGATAGCAACACCACCCGCTCTGCGAATTTCATGGTCGGACCTGTACATGTGATAGTCTCTTGCTATGGTAATTGAGTCTGGTAGTGATTTATTCAGCCACGTCTCGCATACAAATATAATGTCGAAGATAGTCGTATTTGGTAGAAGGAAGAATTCTGGTATTTTGTTTATGAGACTTCGTGAATTAAGTAGTTTGCACTTAAGATCTGTGGTGGTGAATTTTGAGAAAGTTAGGGGCATGCATGCCTAGTTTTGGTTGTTGGGGTGGTGGTTATTGGGGTGCGGACCGCTGTTCTTACTATTAATACAGTTGGCATGGTAATCAGTGTCCATTTCTTCCCAGTTTTGGTGTGTTTTGAGTTCAGCATGTAGTTTACAGGAGCGGATTCTTTGAAGTGTAAATAGGTCTGGCCTTGAGTGAAGTTTGTTATAGTTTGAGTTGCTTCTTTCAACTGAGTTTGATGGTATGAATGAACTTCCTTTTGCTGGTCTCATTTTTGCAAATTACTCTGCAGAAATATGGGGCCACTGAGCCATCACTATATTTAAACTCAGGGTTATCTCGGGAAATATCAGCTATTTCTTCTGGGGAGATGGATGGTGTCTGACAATTGCTGATGATGTCGCGTATTTTTGTAATATCATTAGATTCATTGGTGTCCTCAATTCCAAAAAAAAAATAGCATTGTGATGTTTTTGTTCTCGTTCAATGGTATCTTTGATGAGTAAAGAAATGTCATTTGTTGGGTAGGTGGCTGGTTGTGGTAGAAGTTGTTGTGGTTGTTGTTGCTTTTGTGGTTGAGGTTATTGAATTGAGATAGAGTTTTGATTTACTGAATGTTCGCTTTTCTGTGTTGTATTTTTGTTTTCAAGAGATATTAAACATGATTCTATATTGGTAAGGGATGATAGTAAACGTGTTTCTATCTTGTTAAAGGATGATAGTTGTGTTTCCATGGTGTTGACCTTATTGGACATGATACTGAGTTGGTCTAATTTGGGTTTGCATGATGGGCAGAGATGAGTAAGTAAATTTATGGGTTTTTGTAGAAATTGGATTATGTCTTTGGTATATCCCAAGCAAGATTGATGGGAATATGTGTTGCACATGTAGTATTTTATGGTAATCTCATTCTCCTTGGAGGGATCTGTACATAGACAGCATTTGGATGGGTCATTTGTGACATTGGTAGAGATGTCTTTATTTTTAATTGAGCCATTAGTAGAGATATCTATCTTTTTGTTTGGTTTTTGCTTGGTTGTTTGGTTGTTTTTTCTTGGCATGGTAGATTTGTGACTCTGATCAATAAAACTAACTAATCAATGATCAATAAAACTAATTAATAGATGTAATATACACTCTATTCACAGCAATTAATCAGTTAATAAAAGGTCAATAAACAATGTCACTAATCAATTAAACATTAACACTAATTAGTAATAAATCAGTAAATATACACTCTATTATCACTACACTACTGGTAAGACCCCCCAAGAATTACAGCTAGATGAGTCTTCTTTGAATCTCTTCTGTGTGGTTTCACTAATATGTGCTCTAAACTAGTTGAGCACTAACAAAGCAGTTTTTTTCAGAAGCTCTCCAGGACATTTGGACCACGCTTTTTCAATCCATACTTTCATTCCATTTTCGTCCATCCATCCTTTCTCATGGACATGCACAATAACACCTCTTGGAATCACTTCTTTTGGGAAGGTTTTGGCTATTGAATATTAACATTGGTGGCAGTTTGGTGCCATCTGCACAGCAGGACAATACAACCATCTAATGTGTTTTCTCATGTCCTGAGGTTTTCACAGTTATACTTTTGGCATTTTTCACATCAGCAGTCTTATTGGATGGCACATTAAAGGTTAGCAGGACTTCATCCATATTCCCAATCTGGCCAATTTCAAAATTATTTTTCTTCCTGGAATCTATCACAAAAGTATGAAAAGACAGAATCTTAGATTCATACTCTTTTGGCATTTTTTGCACAATTTTAGTTTTGGTGCGCATAGCAATGCCATATCTCCTCATAAATCTGAAGCACCATGATGGTGATCCAATAAAATCCTGAATGCCTTTCTGTGCAGCAATGCGTTTGGCTTCATATATCATCATTTTTGTGGAAACTGTGAAGCCATTGTTCCGGTGACATGTGATCCAGTCTTTCATGTCCTCCTCTAACTGTGGCCACTTTGCAGGAAGCCCACAAAAGTTTTGCTTGTTTTTATCCTTTACTTTTTGCAGCTGATCCACCTGTTTCCTCCACTCTCTTATCATTTTATCAGTTGGAGATGGTCCAAAGTGTTTCTCTGCTGCTTTGTTTCCGTGTTCCTCAGCATATTTCACGGCTTCCAGTTTAAAAGAGATTTTATATGCTAGCCTTTTTTGCTTTGATATTTTTCTGCAAGAAAGAGCAATAATGTGTCCTTTATAACAATCCAGAACACTGTAGCTGAAACCATGTTCATAAACACACACTAGCTCATTACACCCCCACCCTAAACTACGGTAACAATAGCAAGCTGAGAATTTTAGGACATTGGTGATTCTTTTCCTCCCTAACCCTAACCTTAAGCCTAACCTTTACAAACAGGCACTAAGCCTTAGCCTAACTCTAACCCTTTACAAAGACAAACCGGCACTAACCCTAACCCTAACCCTAACGCTTTACAATCAGGCACTAAGCCTAAGCCTAACCCTTTAACAAACAAACAAGCACTAAGCCTAAGTAACCCCTAAGCTTAACCCTAAGCCTAACCCTTGCCCCCCTCTCTGGCGCTGGAAGCCAAGCCATACCTCTCTCTGATGGGGTCTGGCAGCGATGGGGTGGAGGTCCGGCGATGGGGCGGCAGCATCCTCGGCTAACAGCAATCCGGTGGCAGGTCAGGCAGAGGCAGGACAGGTGGGGCAGGTCAGGCAACAGGTCCGGCGATGTGGTGGTAGCATCCTTGGCTAATGGCGATCTGGTGGCAGGTCAGGCAATGGCAGGTCCAGTGATGGGGTGGCGGCATCCTTGGCTAATGGCGATCTGGCAACAGGTCAGGTGGCAGGTCCAGTGATGGAACATCATCGTCCTCGGCTAATGGCGATCAGGCGGCAGGTCCAGTGATGGGGCGTGGTCATCCTCAGCTAACGGCAATGGGGCGGTGATGTCCTCAGCTAATGGTGATGTGGTGGCAGGTCTGACGGCAGGTCAGGTGGTGATAGGGCGGTGGCAATCCAGCAGCAGGTCAGGCAGCAGGTCTGGCAATGGAGTGTTGTTGTTCTCGGCTAACGACGATCTGGCGGCAGGTCAGGTGGTGGCAGGTCCAGTGATGGGGTGGGAGCGTCCTTGGCTAATGACAATCCGGTGGCAGCATCCTCGACTAATGGTGATCCAGCATCGTCGTCCTCACCTAATAGTGATCCGGTGGCAGGTCAGGCAGCAATCTGGTGGCAGCTATCCGGCGGCAGGTCAGGCGGCAGGTCCAGCGATGGGGCGTCATTTTCCTCGGCTACCAGCAATGGGACATTGGCATCCTTGGCTAACGGCAATGGGGCAGCAGTTCCGGTGGCAGGTCTGGCAGTGTGGCAGGGCGTCCTCAGCTAACGGCTTGACTGTTGGAATCAGCGGATTCTCCTCAATTAACTAACAGTTCATCCAAACAGTTTGAATCCCATCTCTCCGATTGATTGTTGGATCAGCCTCCCAGAATACCGCCAATCAGTTGCCTGTTGCTGCCGTTGCCACCGTCTCCTTTCCGCCAGGTATGGCTGATGTTACATTCGGAGTATAAGACACACCCAGATTTTTACTCTTTTTTGGGGGATAAAAGTGCGTCTTATACTCCAAAAAATATGGTAAATCTTTTATGAAAATAACGAATCCCACTAAAATGCAAATAATACGTTTTGTTTACCAAGGGAGATGAACTTGAAAAGCTGTTGAGAGCTATTTGAAGGTACTAGTGGAAAATGTCCATTTCTAAACCTGAAATTGGAAAGCATACTTTTAGAATCAAGTGTAAAAAATGAACAATTAATTGGAAAAAAACATGACAGAGGAGAAAGAGAAAACTATGCAAGAAGAGAATGCCCTGGCATGTATCTCTACAACTCTGAATTAAACTGTTCTTTTTCTGTTTCATTTAATCTTTTTATAGAGAAGAGTCAAAGATGTGATATCACCAATTGTCTTTGAAGCTACATATAGCCTTGGGGAAAATATTGTGGAAAAGGAGGAAAAAGGATTACCTGCTCTCAAGCCTGTACTCCGACGGAAAAAAGGCCAGAAAATGTCCCAGAGAAACCAGGTTAGAGTTTGGATAGTCTTTCTATAAAAACAATCATCAATGTTGGAAATAAACAATGTTGTCTTTTTTCCCTAATGAGAAAGAAATGAGATTCTCTTTTCTGAATGAACAGTTAGGTTGGCCATGCTGTAAAATATCTGTATTTAGATTTATTTATTTATTTTAATAGATTTTTATCCCACCCTTACTACTTTATAAATAACTCAAGGCAGAAAATATACACAGTACTCTCTCCTATATTCCCTACAACAATAACCTTGTGAGGTAGGCTGGGCTGAGAGAATACTGGCCAAACATCATCCAGTTGACTTTTGCGCCTAAGGTGGAAGTAGAACTCACAGTCTCCTGATTTCTAGCCCAGCAGCTTAATCACTATACTAAACTGGCTTTCATCTTCCTGCATTTAGTAGGGAATGAACAGAAGCAGTGCTTTCATACAGTTTCTCCAGGTATTTTTTTTCCACAATGCTTCTACCTTATGTGATACAGTTGCAGAACTGCTATTTATACTACTACTAAATCAGAATTCAAGACAAAAGCTGAAGACTGATATCATTCTGTTAAAAAGAGAGCTATCTTTTTCTCACCCCTCTTGGATGTCTTCCAAAATATTTTGGGATTCTGGAGCAGTTTTGAAGCACATATAGTAGGAATAGGAGCAGAATGAGGCGAAATTCTCCTGCATTGGTAATAGAAAGTACCCCATATCTGCTGAAAAACTAAGCCACATTAACTCCAGTGGGACTTGCTCATATACTTATTATAATATTGTCCCTTCATTATTTATTATAGGATAATTGCCCTAATAAATTAATAAAGAAATTCATTATTTAGATCTGCAGTCTGGTCTCTTCAATGCTTTCAACGTGTCCCTCCTCATTTAATATCTCATGGCAAATTTCTTCTGTTCTAAAATGTTAAGCAATTAATTACAGCATGAATTATTATACAGAGAATTTCCCAGTTGATAAGGGAATTTACCCTACATTAGACAGAAGTCCTAGGGGAAATAGAGTTCATAATATGGTGGGGAGAATAACTGAAGAAATGGCCAGAGAGCAGATAGGCTAAGGCAATGATGGCGAACCTTTTTCTTGTTATGTGCCAAAAGTGTTTGTGTGCGTGTGTGACAGTGTGCGTGCGTGTCAGCACCCATAATGCAATGCGAATCCCCCACCTGCGCACGCGTGCACGCCCCCACTCCTCCTGCACATGCGCCCTGCATTGTGCATGTGCGCGCCCCCCGCATTACACATGCTCACCTGCGTTATGCATGTGCGTGCCCTGCACATGTGCTTCACACTCCCTCGCCCCATTTTGGGCCTGAAAAGCCTCCTGCAGTAAACTTTGCTGGCGCGAACGGCTTGCCAGCCTTGCGCTCCGGGCAGTGTCCATATCCAGCCATGATGGATGCTGCCTGGAGCGTGAGGCGGGCCGGCCGTTCATGCCGGCAAAGGTTGGTGCAACCCTCTCCCGCCAGGGAGCATGACCACTTACTGGTCAGCACGCCTCTTGCCGCTTACTGTGACTGCTCCCCGGCCAGTGGGTCTCCATGAGTGGGGAGCTGTGCTCTCTTCCAGTTCTCCTGGGGCAGCTCGCCTCCCTGTCGGCGGCTTCTCCTCCTGGCTGCTCCAGGAGCAGCCCCTGTCTCTTAGCCAGTGCGAATGGCTTGCCGTCGTAGCCTGCCACTGCCCTCTCTGCCCTGCCGGCTGCTCTGGTGCTGCTGGGGAAGCGGCAGCACAAGAACTGCCATTGGCGGGGGCGAAGGGGTGAGTGGGAGGGCCAGCTGGGTGCCCGACTGGTGGCTTCCCTCCTAAGGAGAGTGATTACAGGTCTAAAAGGAGACGCGGTGGCCAGGAGTTCTGCGAAGAACAATCTTGGTCTATTCACACAGCAGCCAAGAAAAGCACCTTCCTCCAGTTGCTGGAAGTAAAAGGCGGCTCTGCGCAGCTTCCCGAAAAACTTTTCTCCCGACGGCTGTTCTCTTTTGCACACTCAGAGCCCCATGCCACCAAAATGCGAGGAGTTGCACTGCTCTCTCACCCACCCTTCCCCTGGCCAGACTGCCAGCCTGGAATTCACCGCGGCTTCCCTCAGTCTGGTAGCTAATTTAATTTAATTTAATTAATTTAATTTAATTTAATTTAATTTAATTTAATTTAATTTAATTTAATTATTTAATTTAATTTAATTTAATTTAATTTAATTTAATTTAATTTAATTTAATTTAATTTAATAATTTAATTTAATTTAATTTAATTTAATTTAATTTAATTTAATAATTTAATTTAATTTAATTTATTCAATTTACATGCCGCTCCCTCTCGGAGGGCGGCTCACAATACATTTAAAAAAAAATCATTATAAAAAACATTTAAAAATTAAAAACATTAAAAACATTAAAAACTCATTCATGCCATTCATGGCCAGATCTCGCCAGATCACAAGAGCGAGATCAACGGCCCCAGGCCTGCCGGAAAAGCCAGGTCTTCACCGCTTTTCGGAAGGCCAGTAGGATGGGGATGATCTAGACCTCAGGAGGTAACTGGTTCCAGAGAGCTGGGGCTGCCACAGAGAAGGCCCTCCCCCGCGGGCCCGCCAGCTGGCATTGTTTAGCTGACGGGACCCGGAGGAGACCAACTCTGTGGGATCTTACCGGTTGCTGGGAGCTATGCAGCAGAAGGTGGTCTCGAAGATAACCTGGCCCTGAGCCATGTAGGGCTTTAAAGGTAATAACCAACACCTTGAATTGTGACCAGAGACCAATAGGGAGCTGGTGCAGCTTGCAGAGAATTGGTGTAATGTGGGTGTATCTAGGTGCACCCATGACAGCTCGCGCGGCTGCGTTCTGGACCAACTGTAGTCTCCGAACACTTTTCAAGGGTAGCCCCATGTAGAGCACGTTGCAATAATCTAACCGTGAGGTGACAAGGGCATGAGTGACTGTGAGGAAAGCCTCCTGATCCAAGTAGGGTCGCAATTGGTGCACCAGGCAAACCTGTGCAAAGGTCCCCCTCGCCACAGCTGTCAGATGTTGCTCTAATCTTAGCTGGGAGTCTAAGAGGACACCCAAATTGAGAGCCTGTTCTGAGGGGGACAATTTCTAATCCTATCTGAGCCAGCTAAACAACTCTCGCAGCCATTTCTCGAACAGAGAAAAAGACAGGAGGGCTGGAGGGGGGTCAGGAAACCGATCCAAACTCTCTCCCTTCCCTCTTCTTTCTCCCAACCCTGCCAAGCACTCTTAGTTTACCCCTAGTAAGGCAGGATAAACAGTTGGAGATGGATCAGTTCACAAAACCCAGTTTCAGCCAATGGCTCAGAGCAGCAGCTTTGCTTGAGGAGGAAGGGAAAGGATCGTGGGAAGAAAGCTGGAGCTCTGGCAGTCTGTTACTCTGTTAAACGTTTTTCCAAACTCGAAAGCAACTGAAGGGCAGGCTTCGAAAATCTTTTCAAAATTATCTCAACTGTTTGCAGGCAACCCACTCTAAGAGAACGACCAAGCCTTCCAGGGGGCGTGACGTTCGCACCAGAAGCATGTCCTCTTTAAATAAGCAAACTTTATCCCTTCTTCCAGACCCCCCTCCATATTCTTCACTTGAAGAGGAAGGGAAAGGATCGAGGGAAGAAAGCCGGAGCTCCGGCAGCCTTTGGAAAAACGTTTAATAGAGTAACAGACTGCCAGAGCTCCGGCTTTCTTCCCTCAATCCTTTCCCCTCCTCCTCAAGCGAAGCTGCTGCTCTGAGCCATTGGCTGAAACTAGGTTGTGTGAACTGATCCAACTCCAAGTGTTTATCCTGCCTCAGTAGGGGTAGACTAAGAGTGGCTGGCAGGGTTGGGAGAAAGAAGGAGGAAGGGAGAGAGTTTGGATCGGTTTCCTGCCCTCCCTCCAGCCCTCCCGTCTTTTCCCTTGGAAAAACATTTGGCTCATCGATTTCCCCACCCCAGGAGTGGGGAAGTATGTACTCCCACCCTCCCAGCATCCTTGTGACAGGAGAGGAGCTCCCTGATCGCTCACACACGTGGCTTTGACTGCTGCCCGCCTCTCGTCTGGCACCCACAGCGAGGCAACTGGGGAGACGCCCATATGTTTCGCGGCAGCAGCGGTGGTGGTAAAGAATCCCCAGGACTGCTACTTCCAACTTCGTCCTCTCAGCCTTGGTGCTTTTACCTTACATGGCAGCGGCGGTGCTTCTTCCTGGTCGCACCTTGCAAGCCAAAAGTGCAACCCAGCAATACCCAAGTGGGGGCTGCACGCTTTTGCCCCAGCTACACCAGTGGAGACACAATCTGCTGACCGCCATGTGAGTGCCAATGTGTGGGCTTGCCGCCCAGCCCGTCTCTCTTGGGGACTGCAAGCTGATTTGCCCCGATCAGCCTGGCTCCCAACCCCCTCCAGGCACTCTTACATTACATGGTGGTGGTGCCTCCTCCTCCTCCTCCTGGCCATGCCTTGCAGACCAAAAGTGCAGCCCTACTCCCCTGAGTGCCCAAGCAGGCCAGTCGCTCTTGCCTTTCCCCCTGCAGTTGCTGCTGCTGCTGCTCTTCTGGGGCAGCAGAGCTGCGCCGGAGGAACGCTGGAGACAGCATGTCGGCCATTGCCGGTCTTTGCATGCGCATGGGCGCCAGAAACCAGGAGCCAAGTGGCTGATGCACATGCACATTCCTGAAACGGGAAGATCATCTTCCTGCACCACGCATGTGCAATGGGCGGCTGCTCTTCCGGTTTTGGGCGCTTAGGTGCACATGAAAACCACCTGGCTGGCATGCCGGAACCTGGAAGAGCAACAGGAGATGGCTCTGCGTGCCCAGAAAGATGGCTCTGCGTGCCACTTCCGGCACACATGTCATAGGTTCGCCATCACGGGGCTAAGGTGTAGACCAGCCTAATCAGTTTGAGAGATACAGTGTTAGATTGTTATCTTTTAGATAACAAATGAAAAACATGTAGTTTTCAGAAACAGTTAAATTACAGATCCACTCTACTCTTGTCAACAGTGCTAGGGAGCGATAGTGAATGTAGTTGAATAACTAGAGGGCCACCCCTGTTTTAGATCATCTGTGGCAAGTGAGAATCATATGATTAAATTTTGTGCTGAACATATGCTTTGTTCAGTCAAAGAGAATCTCCTCTGTTCCCAATATGTCCCAAATATGAATGTTTCCTTTATTACAGGAAATGGCTTTCTCCAACCCCTCCCTCTTTAGTCTAATTAGAAATATTCCTCCCCCTTCCCCTTCGGTTGGGTGGAATCTCTGATGCATTCAGTCTCATCCACATATATCTGCCAGGTTTCATGTGTTGGAATTCAGTGGCCAGGGTGAACCCCAAATTGGCACAGAATTGATGTTTTTCCATACCAGGAAATATAAAAATGATTCCACCCAGTATTATGATACAATATGATTAATTTGAGCTTTTGGGACTGGCTGTCCTTACCAGACCAGTATATGGGAGAGAAAAGAGGACTGAGTTGGTTGGAATTACTTGTTTAGAGCTTAATTTTTAGTAGCTTTATCTGCACATATAGTTGAAAGATCTGCAATTATTTTACTTAACTAAACAGTTGTAACTATGCTGCTGTTGTTATTTGTACGTGGAACAGCAGAAAAATATTTCAAATATTTGCAGTTTGTTCCTTTAAATAACTGATCTTTTGCTTCCAAGTGGACTGGCTGTAGTCCCCTAGTTTGGAAACAGGAATTTGCTCCTGGAAATCTGTTCAGCTCACATCTCATAGTTCAGGGAAGAAAACCACCTAAAGCTCTACCTCCAAAGACCATTGCCATATTATATGGAGGAGAATATCCTTTTTGTTTCAAGAGCAAGACTTGGATGTAAAATGAAAGGCCAAGATACCCATTCTTCAAAGTGGTGAGGAAAGCTAGGGGAAAAAATAATTTATTTTCATTTACATATATACATATACATTTACATATACATATACATTTACATATACATATACATTTACATATATAGTTAATTAAACTGAAGTATTCATCTATATGAATACTTAATTTTTTTGCCCCCTTTGTAGCCCCAAAGCATTTGAAGATGTATTGGCCCCAACAGTCTCAGGCTGTGCACCTAAAGCATACTTCTCAAACTTGGTTACTTTAAGATATTCATGCTGGCTAGGAAATTATAGGAATCTACCCACTTAAAATTGCCAAGTCTGAGAAACAGTGGCCTGAAGTCTTACAATCAATCATGACCTTTGGAGAAACAGAAAGCACCCCTTCTCCAAACATTGATGAGAAGAGACTGCTATTCTTTCTTTCCTGTAGAAATTTTCTTGTCTTGAATGTTTTTTTTTTTTTCAATATTGTATCTCATCCCACTATGCTTTTTAGCACTTACACTGCTCCTACTAATGGAAGTTTGGCGGACAGTGTCATTAGCACTGTTACAAATCTTATTGTTCTAAAATAAATGAACAATTCTCATTAAATGAATCATCAAATTTGTTAGGCATTTTTCAGATCTTGTGTGAGCATCATTCTGCTGTTTGTTAAAACAGTGTGACTTTTTTCAATCTTTTGTTGACCCTAAAAAATAACCACATTTGATTCATTAAAGTTAATAGCTCTTAAATCAGTGGCATGCTACCTTAAACAAATACTAATAATAAAAAAATTTAATCCCTGACTATTACTGTTCTTTTTATAGACTAAAGGTATTGACCAGTCATTGTCCCAGATCTCTAGGCAAGAAAATACTCCAAATTCATGCATGATTGTAATATATTGAATATATGCATATACTATCATTAAAGGTCAGAGCCATTAGATTTCACTTTTAAATGAATGGTAAATTTCTTGTTACATCCTTGTTTGGTTAGTTTAAACTATATAGCAAAGAAAATAGAATTATATATCACATGTATATATATGATTGATTGTTTAGTTAGATTAACAGGGCCTTCCTTGATCTTGGATACCATAGGAAATTGACTATTCTGAAGTGCAAATGAATCTTTCTGATTGTTTCCTTGTCAAACCACAAAAAATGAAGGGGATTCATAAACATAGAGAAATAGCAGAACAAGTACTCATCTAGGGACCAGAATTGAGACTTGCAATTCAGTTGTTAAGCAAATCAGTTGCTAAGTGAAACCATGACTTTGCATATGATCTTACTTTCTTTGTTGTGAAAGTTGTGAGTGCAAGGATAGTTATTTTTTAATCACCATCATAACAGAACAGTTGCTAAACAAGGTAGTCATTAAACAAGGAATACCTGTAAATTGTAGTTTTGCATTGCATTTCAGAACACTCAGTACAGATTCATCAAACATGATCACTCCAACACATCATCAGATGTCTGTAAAATAATGTAATATTAGTCTAGGTATGTAAGGTACTTTCATTTAATGAATTATATCCACAATTATTATACAAAAGGAGGAATTTATCCTGTGCTATAACTTAATTGAACTAAATTTAATTAATTTTAATTTAACCCCTTCCTCTCCCCCGCCCACTACTATAATGACTTGAGTATTGTAGCAACTTAGTTTTTGCTTGGAGTGTTGTGTTTGTGTGTTTGCTAATAGCAATAGCAGATCTTGACCCCCTAAAAATGAAGTTCAAAATTTAAGAATAATACACCTGATCTATTTTATGAGTCCTGGCCATTTGTTAATGCTATGGTATAATTTGCACAAATATATTTCATGATTTATTTCTGTACCATAGAATAAAACTTGTTTAATTTGACATTGAATCTGCTTCATACCAACCTGCTTAGGCTCAAAGATTGCAACTTTTGTTGTTCACCAACGCTTATGTTCAAAGGGCTTTGAATTTGGAGCCCTTGCATCCTGGAACTATTTCACAACATGGGTTTCCCATTGATGTGGAAATAAATATTTCCTGAAGTCAAAGGAATTTCAAAGCTGTTCTAAGCCCCACGCCCCTTACACCAACATGTCTGTTTCTTTAATAGCAGGAATGTTTTTTTACATTTATAGCTACTAAGGAATTTGCTCTCATTTACCAGGACATTTAGTGGAAATATTCTTCCAGTTATTTTACACAAGTATATATGATTTAAACCTCGGAAATATTCAGGAATGTTAATTAGTTATCATCAATGAGATGGCATCAGGTTCTTGCACTGGAACAAAATGGGATTTTGTTAAAAGATTTCATACATTGCCCAGGGTTTACATATAGTAAAAAGCAGTTGGTTCTTTGCATTGTAATGATGGAACATTAGGAAAATATACTTTCTTTTTTGAGAAATGCTAAAGAATGGCATATACAGTGCTTCAGATTTGATCCATTCTAAAAAAAAATGCTTCTTTATGAACTGCACATTTTACATTTTAAGATTTCCTCTTGTAGCCTGATTGTGTTACGGTTAAATTTCATTGCATTTTTATGTTTGCAAAATATACAAAATGACATTTTCAGTAGATTTTCATGGGTTGAACTATATCTCATATTTTTCCCCTTCTTTGCATTATGTGTAATTCTCAGAGACTACCTGGACATGTCCCTGCAATTTTCTTAGGGAAATTTTCAGAAATGATTTGCCATTGTTTCCTAGGGCTGAGAGAAAGTGATTGGCCAAAAGCTATGCAAAATGAGTTGCTTGAGCCCAAGACAGGATTAGAGCTCATACTCTCTTGGTTTCTTGCTTGATGCCTTAACCATTACACCAAATCAGCTCTCATACACCTTAAACTACTTCCATCTAGATTCTGTCTGAAGACGAGACAATTACCTTTAGCATGAAACTTTTAACTTCTCAGTTTTTTTGCTTGTAGTCGGTTTAGAGGGATGTTCTTTTGCTCACTGTTTGACTACATTTGAATTGAGCCAATAAAGTATTACTTTAGGTTGAACATTTTCTTCTGGTCAACTGGCCTTTTTTGTGCAGTTTTAATATTCAGTGAGATATGAAATAATTAGTATTTATCAATATATATAAAAGCAAAATACCACTCACGCATCATCACAAAATCTCCAGAACCGTAAAGCCTACAAACTTGAAATTTGCCACATATGTTCCTCTTGGCTTCTAGGTGCTCACTAAGAAAGGATTTTTTGAAATGACCATCAGAGCATTAGTATTTCCTATATTATTATTAACATGCTCTGATGCTAAGGAGTTCTACTCCCTCTCCCCACCTGAAAAGAAATCTGTTCCAAATGCAAAACACAAGCAGAGGAGAGGAGTTTCAGTTTTACTTTCACAGCAGCAAGCAGGGGATAGGATAGGGGAGGCTTCTGTGGGGCAAGCCTGAGGGAGAAAAGGGGATAGGATAGGGGAGGCTTCTGTGTGGCAAGGCTGAGGGAGAGAAGGGGATAGGATAGGGGAGGCTTCTGTGGGGCAAGGCTGAAGGAGAGAAGGGGCTAGGCTAGGATAGGCTTTTGTGGGGCAAGGCTCTAGGGAGAGAGGGGGAGAGGAGAGGCCGATCGTAACTACTCATTAATTTTCAAGCTGTGTCAACTTATCTACATGGGTATTCAGCTAGTTGTACAAAAAGCTGCATTCTATCACATTAGATCTTTGACTCATCTGCCTTAGTATTTTCCATAGTGATGGATAAAAATTGAGAAAGTGTTTTGTTTTTCTTTTCTCCAGCACGCCTGGAGATATTGGGACAGACATCAGCCTTTTTTTTTTCTGGGGCTGGGTGCTCTTTTACAAAGAGGAGATTTTATCTAAATCTTTTTTCTACTCTATTATTTTTTTCTGACTTCTTATAGACTATTTTTGAAAGAAATTGTCAGTCAGATGACTGTGCTGCTGACCTGAAACTCCAGTGTAAACTCTTCCTATCTAGGTAAGTAGCCCTTTTTTCAATTAAAAATGGCTTGGATTGTGAGATATTGGGCTGTAAAAAGAAAGTTCACAATTGTAAAGAAGATTTTAGATGTCTTGAGTGCAAACTGAGAAGTAGTCATGTCAGATGGAAGGTTACAGGTGAGTAAGCAAGAATGGTCTCTACAAGAAATTCTTTAGAACTCTGGACAGATCCCAGCAAAACTGTAAACTGTTCCAACATGAGTTGATTTATAATTGGATTCTTATTCCAACTCTTGCAGACTCCACTTCCTGGCTAGAAGATCAACATCCCCAAAGAGACCAATCTGTTTGATAAACAGATTTGGCAAGTGAGACTTTTGGCAAGGATATTGATTCCTCCATGTAATCTGGCTCAGGAGTCTGCAATTCCTAGCCCAATTGTCATAGAATTTCAGGTTAAAATTCCTAAATTGACTGTGTAAAAGCCCAGTTCTGGAAATTGCACAGCTAATGTCTTACAGCAATTTAAAAAGTGGACCATTGATTATTTTCTTAAACCAAATAAAATTGCATTTTATTCATTTTACAATCAAGTGGATAATGGAAAAATGAAAAAAAAAAACCAGTCATACTATGTATGTATGTATGTATGTATATGTACAGTATGTATGTATGTACACACACACACACACACACACACACACACATGAAATGCATAGATGTAGAGTCTCACAAAGATGACTTTAGCAGGAGTGAAATGCTCCCGGTTCGGACCGGATCACTCAATCCGGTAGCGATGGTGGCGGGTGGTTCAGAGAACCAGTAGCAAAAATCCCTGCGCCCTCCACCCCCACCAGGCCCAGCTGAGCCGCACGATCATCAGAGGCTTTTTTTTTTTTACTTTTAAAAGCATTTTTCTACAACCTCTTCCAATGAAAAAACGCTTTTAAAAGTTAAAAAAAAAGCTTCTAATGATCGCGCGGCTCAGCTGGGATCGTCAGAGGCTTTTCAAAGCATTTTTTTGTGCAACCTCTTTTCTTTCAAAAAAAAATGCTTTGAAAAGTCTCTGACGATCCTAGCTGAGTTGCCTGATCGTCAGAGAGGCATTTTTTAAAAAGCTTCTCTGATGATCCCAGCTGAATTGCCTGATCGGCAGAGGCTTTTCAAAGCATTAGAAAAAATGCTTTGAAAAGTTAAAAAAAAAAAAAAGTTGGCCACACCAACCCAGTCACATTACCCCCCACCAAACCACGCCCACAGAACCGGTAGTAACAAAGTTTACATTTCACCCCTGCTTTGGAGATATTAAACAGAAATGATAATTGGAAAAAGCATGCATTAAACCTGGGAAACAAAAAATTTGAAGAATATCAGTCTGACTTCTTCCTAATTCATTAGTGTATAAGACAAGGAAGAGAAAAGCTTAGTCAGGTTTTCCTTTCAGACTAATTGAATCTTTTTCTTGATCTAGCCAATTTTGAAGGGCTGTCATTAAATTTATAGCATTCTAAAATGAATTGTCGGATGGTTTGTTCCCCTAATTTTGTTATTTCTTCTTAAGGCTTTCTCATTTTTAGCTATTTTTATAGTTGTATCATGCCATTTTCTTTCCCAAAACAAATGAGTACAGATTGCAACAGTTGCGACCATATCACCCAACTTTGCTTGCATTTAATAACCAAATGTTAAATTGTTAAGAGGAAAAACTTTGGTTAATGTTGTTAATTGGGATTGGAATGGATGATTTAAATGAATTCTTCTAATGCTTTGAATCTGTGTAAAGTGGAATACATCAGAAGAAAATTCTAATCCTAAATAAAGAAGGGCAGGGACTACCCTTAGGCAAAATAGGAAGGTGACTCCTAGCAATGCAGCTGAAGAGAAAATCCAACCCTGTGGACTACACAGATATAACAGTACTCCATTAGTACCATGAAAAGCAGAAGAAGCTTGAGGGACAGCAATAATGGAAAAAGCAGAGAAGTTAGGGTAATTATATTTCTTCCCATTCCTTGTATAGAAGAGGCAGAAAGACTGTCTCTGACCTGCATGAGGCTATTTGTTTAAAAGAGCCAAAGAGATGTAGTGCTTAAGTAGTAACCTATGACTGGGAAGATCTAAATTTAATCCACCTCAGCCTTGGAAATTCACAGTGATGTTGTGTGCTCTCCCTTAGCTCAGCATACCTCACAGAGTTGTTATTGTGGAGGTTGCATGATTAAAGATCCCCATCTAAATATCCTTGAATTGATTTCCACTGGGTGGAGGAAACAATTGCTTTTCTTCTGAGCAGTTATGTTGTGCATTATTAATTTATTTAGTTTAATTTATATTTCCATAGCAAAGATCTATTTGTTTCAGTTATATAACACTTTTATACAAATCTTCCAGAGCAACTTACAATTATTATGTCCATTATGTTTATAATTTAAAGGACATAATACTGTATATCAGGAAAATAGGTTAACAAGGAGTGATGGGAAAATTTGGGGCTTTGGAAAAAAAATCAGCCACCCATTGTAATGAAAACAATATTATTAAAATATAGAAAGCAGAACTGATGGCAGTAATTAATATTAGATGATTGTCAAAATTCAAACCCTCAAAGAATATGGTGGGATTTTGTTATGGAAAAAAATCTAAACTGCTAATATTAATGTGTATTTCATTCTTAATGTTCTTTTTTCTTTTGTTCAGGAAGTCTGAACAAAATTTATAATTTTGGCCCTGTTGAATTGGATCTGCTTGACCATCCCAGTCTGGTGGTCTCAAGATGTACTGAATTGCAGTTTCCTTCATATCTTATGATAGCTAGTTGGCTGTGGATTGGTCAGAAGGCCTCCAGGTTTGGGGAAGCCATTTAATTCCATTTCTGCTTCTCCAAACAAGCAAATAATGGAAGCTTTTTCAACATAATAGGAAACAGAAATGAATGAATCTGAGGTTCATTTTCTCACATAATTACCTATCCAGGGATCTCAAGTCAGGAGTTATAAGGGGAAAATTGCAACAGAATCCATTTTTGGATTTTAGCAAGCAGAGACTCAAATCTTGGACAGTTAAAAATTCATCATCATCATGTTAGCCATTGTCTATCCGTTGCAGAATGAAATCCTCTTCCTCATATTTCCAACTGATACGGTCCTGAGCTTTTTTTTTTTTTTTTGCCAGTTGGACCTGCAATACTTGCTGATGTTGTCGATCCATCTTGTTTTAGGTCTCATTTGTAGACCCTTTTTATCAAGTGGGATCCATTCTGTGACAGCCTTGGTCCACCTGCCATCAGTTGTTCTTGCTATGTGACCAGCCCATTTCCAATTCTTTTATTTTCTTGATGATATCAATTCTTTTATTCTCTTGATGATATCATATACTTTCATTTGTTCTCTAATCCACGTGCAGGTTTTTCTATCTTGTCTTGTAATGCTGAGCATGTATCTTTCTATTACTCTTTGCACCACTTGTAACTTTCGTATCGATTGTGAAGTCAGTGTCCGTGTTTCACTGGCATAAATTACTATGTACTATATAATAGCAGAGCACAATAACCCCTTCCTTGAATAAATAAGAGCATTCTGAGCGCAAAAATTCTGAAAAAAATTATGAAGATGGGAGAAGCCATCTATTAAGATAAAGGATATCATAATGGCCATCTTGACCATAAAGGAAGTGTCTAGGGTCACATTGCCTTTTTTTTGATAAGTGTCTTTGCTCTGAGATGAAATGCTGCTGTGCCAGATTATCTGGTTGAAAAAAACAATCTGCTGCTGCTGTTTGCACAAACTCCTTAACTGTGTTCAGATATGATGTTCAGAGAATGGTTGGTGTGAATATATGCGTATAGACCATGTATTTTTTTTTTACTTTATACTAGAACTGATTCTAGTAATTAAGTTAAGGAGTTAAGGAGTCCAGATTTTCTTCTATCAGCATTTAGTGAGTCATTTGGGATAGTTAGAATAAGTTTATAAATAGAGCTTGCAGTTATTAATGTCTGATATGTTATTAATAATTATTTCTATCACCTTTTGAATTTATTATGTCTAACTCATAGAGGAAAAGAATGAACTATGGGTAAATTGATCTAGTGAAGATTTCAGTGGAAGAATAACTATCCTGTTGTACAAAAAGTCTAAATTCTTCTTATTTGCCAAAAACATAGAAATGCTTTTAACTCTTTACTAAATTCACTGAACTTCAGTCTATCTTTTCCAAAGACAAGTGATTGCACCTGGTTATCTTTTGGAGAAATTTTATTCACCAGTTTTGTAAAATATTAAGAATGTCACATATAGAAATTCTAACAAAGTTTTAAAAATGGGAGAGCGTTATGGTTAAAATTGGGATTTTGAGCAAATTGGTTGCTTCAAGCTTACTCTCTCTTTTCACTTTTTTTTAAATAGGATAAATCTTTGATGATAAATCTTTCTAAAAATCACATTCAGCATTTTATTGTGTTTTATAATAATTCACCATTGAAGATGGCACCACTCAAGGAAAATAAAATAAGTCCTGGGAAAAAGATACAAATTCCTGGCTTTGAATAATGGGCATTCTATCCCTGTAATATAAGATTTACATAGAGAAATTTTCAACTCTTTTAAAAAAAACCCAGTCCTGCCCAGCTGATACATCACAGGGTTATCCCATCTGATAAAAGCCAGAACAGTGTAACCGCACAATTGTGTTTGGTTGGTGGTAATATGAACATGACCCCATAGTTTAATTTTAAGTACCTGCCTAAACTTAGTTTACTTACTTTATATGGAGTCATCTTGTAGGAAAACTGCATGAGATTTTTTTTTGAAAATTATCCAGTGAGCTGAAATAGAAGGATTCCTATTTGAGAATATTTAAAAAGCAGGGTTCTTTTTTACTATAGATTCTTGACATAATTCATTTGCTGCTACTAGGCAGGAAATTTTCTGGGATTGTATTCAAAACCATAAACTGTTTTTGATTGGCATACAGCTTGATCTCTTCTATCATTTATAGTTTCCCTACCGTCCTAATCTTTACACTTTGTTATTTTGTATG